CAGGGTCAGAGTTGGTGTGCAGGCGGGACAGCTGATGGTCGCATTGATCTACTTGTTGTCAGATGATTAGTTGCTGTGGTGGAAAATTCCACTCGTGTTTCTGCAGAGCAGTTTGAAATATAACTTGTACAATCACTGGAATTGGGTCAAACACTTAACACACATGAAACAAATAAAACCAAGTATTAACTTTACCTCATGATGAGTGATAGCTATTTTTACACCAATGAGCCAAAATATGATGCTCCCAATTAGAGTGCAACCATGATTTAATTAGATTAGATTAGATCACACCTAAAACCTTTCATAACTGTAAACTGGTTTAGACATTAATTTAATGATACAAGTTGTTATAGTGAAGTTTGGAAGGTTATTTACTCATGTGGCAAAAACTCTATGTGTGTTTGTGTCAGTGGGCTCTTGTTCGTAGGAGTTTGGGCTGCATACAAACAAAGGTATCAGTCTTGGCCTTGGTCTCACAACTGCTTTTGTCTCCAGTGATAAGCGGTCAATAATAACCTTCACTTTAGCTAACAGGTTAACAGGATTGACCCATTAAGAGAAACAGAGGGATGAGGGCGAGTTTGCAGTCAGTTGCTGTTGTGATGTGTGGGCTGGAGGTTTGTTTGATTTACACAAAAGGACTGAAGTGACTCATCAGTTGACTAAGCCAACTCAATCACAAAGCTTTACAGATTGCAGAGAAAGAAAGCCCTTAAGGTTAACATGTGGGCAAATATGCAGTGGTGGAAGAATAATTCAGATCTTTTACTTAAAAGTAAACACTACAAGTAAAGGTCCTGCATTCAAAACCTTACTTAACTACTACTTACTAAGTATTGTCAGCAAAAAGTACTCATTCTACAGTAAAATGGGCCTTATCCTTTCCATTGCTCTTTGCTGCATTTTGCTTTTACCGATAAACTTTTCCACCTCATTTACGTGTTTAGGCACAAATTGAAAATAAGCATTAAAACAGATGGATGCAAACCCACCTGATTATGGATATATATCCAGGACGTCATCACTTTTCAGCCACGTTCCTAACGAAGCCTTTGGACATACTGTATCTTATATATACTATATACTATAAGTATATATATACTTATCTGATATTTGGAAAGCCCAATATCAAGGAAACATCATATTTGCTGTATGTAATTGATTAATTATGTTCTGCTCAATGAGCAGCAATAGAGCTTTTCATATAAATTTTTCCACAAATTAAACTAGCCACAGCCGATGGTAGCCACTGCGAAACCCTTGAGTAGCCACTAGGTTGCCAAATTCCACCGATTTCAGTGCAAAATCTTTTTGCTGATCCGTTTTCTGCTTTGAGCAGGCACTTACGATTGGTATTTCTTGCAGCTGCTCATTTACAGCAATACACTGCAGGGAACTGCTGGAAACATCCACCCTCAGCCTCCCTACCCACAACTGGCCCTAAAACGTGCAGAAGGATTAAGCCCATCAGAGTAAAAAATATCTCTGTTGCCATTAGACCCTGTTAATTGATTTTCCCAGTGAAGCCCCTGTGTAGATCAAACGTTTTTCTCCTGCATGGGCACCATTAAACCCCATATAGTTGACTCCCGGCAGGAGACACAGTGACACCGTGGCTTCGGTTTGAACACCCACCCACAGGTAGGCCGAGAAACAAACAACCAATTATGAGCGGCAGCAGCAGATCAGCATGTTCTGTCCTGGACCTCCTCCCTCTAACCTGGCCTGTTGTCAAGCTGCTCATGCTCAGCCCCCCGCCTCCGACTGCCTCCTCACATCTACTTCACAATTACAGCCTGTCTGATGGAGTGATAATCACTGCAGAAATCAAATCAGGCTTCAGATCCGCTCCTGTGTTTCTGCTGTGGCTCTACAGGATCTACCAGGCTGCTGCTGCTGCTGCTGCTACTTGGCATGTGATCAAACTGGGAGTAAAAGCCAATGTTGGGATGTTATGGTGTAAGCCACAGCGGTTTCAAGGGCCTCAGATATCACTTCCTCCCACGCTGCACTGTAGACAACCACTGGAAAGGTTTAAACTTGACTCTCTTGGAGACCTTTGAGCGGCTGCCGGTTCTTTTATACTTGTATGTTAAGTTAAAAAAATTGTTTTCATTTCTGTTTCATCCCTGTGTCCTGACAGACATGCAGGGCCAATGACATTTGATTGCAGGCTCCTCCACAGGCCTCTGTGACCTGTGGCTACCCATAACACCCTTCTCTGCATTGATAGGTAGGTACATTTATTTGTCACAGTATAACAAGTTATATAGTAAAAGTGAGTTTTGACATTTTAAAGACATCAAGGTACAGTATATGTTGTGCCTCCATCAGGCACATTTGTACTTGTTTAACTTATTGCTCATTGATAAAACGTGTCATCTCTGCAGGTTTGTCAAAATCATACAAATACTCTGGCACCACTGAGTAGGTATGGCAAATGAAGAATCAGGTTTGATGGTTCTCCCATGACGGAGGAATCCTTATAATGTGTCTTTTTATGATATTGTAAACAAAGTCCTGAATAAATTTTTTGTGAAACGGATCCAGTACAAGGGGAGAAAAAGCTGAGCCTGAATCTGATTAAATCTCTCAGCTGCATGTGGATAAAAGAGCTGCTGCCACCGGAGGATATTTCGACATGAAAAAGGTGACACATGACAAACAAAACCCATAACTCTTATTTGTCCTACAAACTGAAAGGTGGGGGAAAAACAAACACACTCACTGTAACAACTTGATGTGTCCCTGGTATTTTTATGTGCTGTATTTCAGAGGGAAAGCCGGTGTTGCAATAAAATGATCAACTCCTGTTTAGAGGAAGAAATCTGTTAAACCATTGCAAAAGATGTGTGAATAGACTCCAATATAACTGCTGGTGTTGATCATAAAAATACTTCTTTGCTTTACCTTGTGAAATACTTTGTGTGTGCAACGTGATCTAGCTTTCACAGGGTAAGTGTTTACAGGACAAGTGGATCAAAATGTTTTGTTCTTTTTTTTGGGTAAACACTCATGAGTAAGAATTTTCCCAGCACTGTAGGTTGTGAAATCCAAACACAACAAGCCAGTGAGAGGCGTCCTGCTGAGTAATGCTGCTCGGGACACAAAGACTTGCATGTGCAGAACATGTTTCACTAAGATAACACTTATTTAGGCAGCCTGACTCCAACAAAAGGACACTGCTTGCATGTAATTCACCCATGATGTGCATTTCCCAGAACTAAAGAACAGCTATGACGCTGAGAGGCGAGCTTGAGTGAGAGTATATCTGCAGAGTCATGAAGCTGGGACATAGTCTCGTGTGGTAAGACTATTAGAGAAGGATCTGGCCTCCTTAAATAACTTGGATTTAAGCCTTCCATGGTGCCATTGAGAGTGAAAGAGACAGGAATGGCTGGTTATGTAGTGGAAGAGGGCATGGGTGGGGTGATACGGTGGCACACAGAAGGGTTGTGGGGGGTGGGAGAAAGTTAAAAAAGTCGAGAGGCTGACTCAGGGTCAGAGAGAGAACATCCTGTGTCGAGTGCTGCGCAGCGTTAAGAGGCTGACTCAGTCTGCACGGTGGGAAAATCATGTACTGGGAAACTTATTAGTGTATGATCCATCTCCTGAATTACAACTGCATACGCAAATGAACCGGCTGCACTCTGTGTCCATGGGTCTATATGTGCTGTCTTAGTGTTGATTGTCATTTGAGGTTGTTGGTTTGCAAAGACTCAAAAAAGACAGATTTTGATCCTCTGTCACTCTGTCAGAAGCTGTGATGGATCCAAACTAATGTTGTGCAGCCAAGAAATGTTCAAAAGAACAGATGTTTATTTTAACCCCTTGACATGATTGTTGCAAATTCTCTTCCTTTCAGTCTGTAGCCAAGATAGCATATGTATTCCCCCAATGCCTGTTTGTGCATATTCGATACGTAGCTAGGAACCTTTTGCAAGCACTGATTTCCCATTTATGCCTGTTGTTGCTAATTTGTATCATACCCGAATTTATATATTTTCTATGTTCTATAGACAAATTAACAATCTTCATTTAATTTAACATCAACTTGAAAGCAAATGAAAACACAAAAAAAAAAATTTTTTGTAAATAAATTCAGGCGTCAAGGGGTTAAACTGAAGCAGAGATCCGCTGTTTCTCAATACCGAGTTCGCCAAGTCCAGACTTGTGTACTTTAAAGCTCAGACTTGGCAAGTTCGGCTCGGGAGTACAATATCCCAGGAAACAGGAGCACGCAGTCAGTCATTCAGCAATTGGAACAGCAGTGGACTTGATGATGGCCGGACCTGTTAGCGGGCGGGACCTCACATCGCCGAAAACGTCATAGCAATTTTTTAAATCAGCTCTGTCTTGAGAAATCAGCCACATATTTGGAGTTTAAACAACTATATTCCCACATAAAAACTCTTAAAACTACTATATGTGACACAAGAACAGCAGTATTAGAAGTTGCAGTTGTGAGTTTTTTCGTCCGACATTTACGCTTTTTGGCAGAGAAATGCAATCTGGGATATCTGGCTATCCTAAGTCCACACAAGTCAACACCGATGCAGGCTCGGCAAAACAGGTGGAGTGAGAACACATCCGGGTATTTGACTGTACTTGGCTAGATGCGGACTTTTGAATTGGAACAGTACTTTGGCTGCGACTGATGACGTTTCACAAGTCCACAAGAACACAAGTACAGACAAGAACACAAGTACAGACAAGAACGCAGATTGAGAAACAACCTTAAACACTTCCTTATCTACACATTTGCAGTTTCAGAGCAACATCATCATTAATTTGGAGTCATGTTTCAGGCCTTCTGATGAATTTAAGTCCAGTATTCTCTCTCTTTTAGCTCTGTTTTTGGTCTCCACCAACTTCTGAGGATAATATCTTTAACTATGAAATTCTCCATTAGTTCTACACTTCAATACAAGAATAATGTTGTTTCTTCTTCATTATTTTATTATTACATAACTTTTTTTTTGTATGTGTTATGTCTGTCCATCCTGGGATTGGGAACCCTCCTCTGATGCTCTTCCTGAGGTTTCTTCTATTTTCCTCCATTTAAGGGATTTTTTGGGAGTATTTCCTCATACGAAATGAGGGTCTAAAGCCAGAGTGTCATATGCTGTACAGATGCACAGCCCCTTGAGACCCTTGGGTTACATAAATACATTTGACTTAGCCTGAACCATGTTTGCTTCAGCCTCATTCTTTTAGTGTGGTATAATGTATGTAGCCTTCAAGCGCATTATAAGGATCCTTTAACAGGGTTTTTGTTTTAATGCGAGTCAGCTGAAAACAGTCAACCATGGCTTTCAAATTGATTTACTACAGTAGTGGAAGAAGTATTCCAATAGTTTTTCTTGAGTAAAAGTAGTAATATTACAGCGATATACTGTTAAAAGTAAAAAAAAAACTTACTTAAAAGTTAAAAAGAATCAGTTTCAGAATATACTTACAGTGCCAAAAGTACTCATTATGCAGAGTGGTCCCCAATATTATATCACTTGATTATTAATAATTATTGATGCATTCATGTGTACGCCACTTTAATGTTACAGCTGGTAAAGGTGGAGCTAATTTGAATTACTTTGTATACCGCTGTGTAGCATAATCTAATATATCCATTTATTTGTTGATTATCTGAATCTACAAATAACAGCTGTGCAATAAATATAGTGTAGTAATAGTATAAAGTAGCATAAAACTGAAATACTCAAGAAAAGTACCTAAAAACTGTACTTGAGAAAATTTACTTTCCACCAAACTCTTCCACACACGCAAGTAGTATAAAACTGAAACACTCAAGTAAAGTACAAGTATATTGTAAAAATTATACTTAAGTACAAGGCAGATAAAACAGCAAAGTTGAAAAAAGAAGGGAGGATCATAATGACATTATGGCCTGTCTCCCAACCACGTGGAATGAAGTATTTCACCTCATTTTAGTGAACAGGGATCAGGTGAAAAGGATTATGTGCTCATTAAGCCACAAAGCATGAATCAAACCTCAATTATCCTCAAACTGTGACCTTACAAAGCCTCTCAGATCACTGCATGGTTTCATAAGAGTGGCCGGGAGCTACTGTACGGGGGAACCAGCTGGAGCCCCAGCTGCACCTCAGCTCTACTTGTGTTTCTGTCATTGATGCAGCATCCGGATCAGACTGAACTTCGCACATGAAAGTGCCCCAACACACAGACTTTAACAGAAGGGGCCCTGCCAGTCAACATTAAAGTCAGAGACAGAGCCTGCAAATTATTAGATTAGTAGACATAGCATCAATTTGTTTTTATTGTTTTAGAGGATGGTCCAGCTTTTTAAAACATATCTGCCTCCAGAATTAATTAAAACCCTAACAAATGAATATTTTAATGTTTTTTATTTATGTTATATGATTAATTGTATAGGTCATTTATCAATCACAAATATCAAACATTTGCACATTCTAGCCTCTCAAAATAGTGCATTTCTTGCTTCTCCTTGTTTTCTATCGTAAATTTACTTTTTTTGTTTTTGGGGCTGTTTGTTGGACAATGTTTTAGTTGCAGCATTGTTAACTATTAACTACGACAGATCCCTATTTTCTACACTGTAAATACAATATTTTTGTATTTGGGGCTGTTAGTTAGACAATAATGTTTTACTTGTGATTGGGATTTTTCACTATTTTCTGGCATTTTGTAGAATAAATGGATCATCTGTATTGGAAAATAGTATTAGTTGCAGCACTATTAACTATTAACTAACCAACCTTTTCTATATTGTAAATACAATATTTTTATGTTTGGGACTGTTGGTCTGACAAAAAAGGCATTTTGAATATCTTGGGATCTGGGAACATGTGATTGGCATTTTTCACTATTTTCAGACGTTTTATCAACTAAATGGTTTATCTGTATTGGGAAGAAAGTATTACTTGTGGCCTAATTAAGTATTAACTGGACTCTCAGACAAGGTGGCAGCTCCTGGAGCTCAGTGATGTTGGTCAGCTGACAGGACGATACTCATGCACACATTCACACAAAGGCATTATTCACATGCCGACTCAGTGTGGGCTGATGCTTATATAACTCTCACTTAAAGCTTTGGATTTACTCAGAAACTAACCCCCCTTTGTCACACACTGCATGTACATTGTGCAGCAGTTAAACAAATTAGAGGGTATAAACTCAATAGCTGGAGCAAAGATATGTGACCTTAAAGTGATTCTCAGAAGAGTCTCTCAGGGTGGAAATATTACATGCAACTCTCTCAGCTGGTGGTGATCCTCCGAGCGCCACCTTTAAACAAATGAGAGAGCAGTGACGCCATTTGGAGCAGCGTTCACTGTACTGTCTGCTTGCCAAGAGGCCATTAGGTGGATTACAGCTCTTGTTTAGTGATGGAGTAGTTTCTCTGACATCTGACACAAGTTTGATTTAGCAGTCAAACCCCTCTAGCCATTCAGCTTTATTAGGACTCAACGAGGTCTCTGTTACACTTTAGCAATGCCTGTCAACTTACCCTTACTGTAAGGCCGTGGTCAGGAGTTTAGAAATATCCCTCAAAAGTTTAAACAGGCATAAAAATAGTCTAGAATGATTTTTTAATTAAGCTTTAAATGCTGTTTCATAACATTTTGGTATGGAAATACTACATTTTTTAATTTAATAAAATAATGTCCTCTTATTAGTATTTCCCTGGGCTTTCAACCGAACATTACAGCCTTCGTCGGGGGATGATGTTCCTCAGTCAAAATTTTATGAAGAATGACAAAACATCAGTAAGTGACATCACCAGCGACCTCCACAGTGCAGGGATGAAGGGATCACAATCCACTGTTGGAAGAAGACTCAGAGAGCAGAAATATAGAGGCCACACCACAAGATGCAAACCACTTATCAGCAGTAAGAATCGGAAGGCTAGACTGTAATTTGCAAAGAAGTACAGAGATGAGTCGCAAAAGTTCTGCAACACAATCTTATAGACTGATTAATCTCTACCAAAGTGATGGAAAGGCCAAAGTGTGGAGAAAGAAAGGAACTGCTTATGATCCGAAGCATACAAGCTCATCTATGAAGCATGGTGGAGGTGATGTCATTGCTTGGGCGTGCATGGCTGCTTCTGGAACAGGCTCATTAATATTTATTGATGATGTAACTGATGATGGTAGCAGTAGAATGAATTCAGAAGTGTACAGAAACATTTTGTCTGCCAATTTACAGAGAAATGCATTGAAACTAACAGGGAGGAAGTTTATCATGCAGCAGGACAATGACAAAACAAAGGACTTTATCAGGGGAAAAAAGTGGTTTTAGACTGGCCAAGTCAATCACCTGACCTTAAAAATAGAGCATGCATTTCTCCTCCTTCAGAGGAGACTGAAGGGAGAAACACCCCGAAACAAACAAGAACTGAAAGAAGCTGCGGTAAAAGCCTGGAATAGCATCACAAATGAAGAATGCAACAGTTTGGTGATGTCGATGGGTCGCAGGCTTGAGGCAGTTATTGCAAGCAAGGGTTATGCCATCAAATATTAAATGTTATTTACTTTAAGATTATTTGTTCCTTTTCTTTTGCTCACCTAAGAATGTTGTGGTCTAATACAAACGATATTGTGATAGGTGATATGTCCTAAGTTGTTTAACACATCTAGATGTGAATACCAGGAAATAAGAGCAGAAATTCTGAATGCTTGTCTCATATTTATCTTTTGATCTTAAACCCAAATGTCTTCTTTGAACAACAAAAACAAACGAATTTGCCTTACCGTTCTAATACTTTTGGAGGGGACTGTATATGGAAAGTCCAGCAACACATACGACCATTCACCATAAGTCACGTTATGTCAGTTTAACACGTGGAAAATGTAAAAAAGGCTTGTACCTCGGTTAGGTTTATGAATAGCCTAGATTGTGGTATGTTTTAAAGTAAGTAAAGTTACGTAAGCCACTTTATGGAAGTGACGGAACCTAAAACTCAAAATAACTTTATATGTACTTGATTTTACAAGGGACTCGAACGGCAATCTCCTGTGAAGGTCCTGGTTTTGACCCATCCATCACCCGATCCTACGGACTTGTCGCAATTTATTATATGTAATTTTATTTGCCATTGTCATACGGCCCCAAGAGGTCGCTAAAAACTTTACAAAAAAATACAAAAAAAATTTGGGTTGTAATAATCTGTATAATAATCAACCTATACAGATGTTCTGGTAAGGATGGGCTGGATAGTTATTGTATGTAGTCATTTGATAGATGACAGATGACACATGCCTTTGGTGGGAGAGACCCGCGTTCGATTCCCACTGTGACATATCCACCCTAGTTGCTCTAGAGGTGTGTGACCTCTGACATAAATGTCATAATTGACAATTGACAAAGTCAAAAAATTCGCTACCATTTGTAAAGGTTATGGTTTCAGTTGCAATGTAACCACAACCCTTATGCTTGTTCTCTAAAAACCCCTAATTCCCTGCCATATTACAGAGGACAAGACCTCACTGTCTTAAGTGGTAACTGCAGCCCTGCCTTAATGTGAAGTGACTAAAATGAAAGTAAAACTAATTGTTTGTAAAAGCATTTGGGTCACTGAGTTATTTTAAGATTCTGCCCAGATCTGATTGTTCAAGTCTGGAAAATTATTTCAAGCCTCGCCTCAGCAGTGAAACAGACTCTGTCAGGATTAATAGCGAGACATGGTTTAAATAGGATTATTCTAAAAGATCAAATTATGATAAGTCTACTGTATATTGTTTGGTGGAGACTTCAGAGACAGCGGGTAAAAGATAATGCTGCCTTTTCTTATTTAAAGCTTCAACAGAGCATCAACAGAAATCTCTGCTCAGTTCCACTTTGTTTTTATAAAATACACAAACTTTCTTTAAATCTTTTGAGTCTCCCAGTCATGCGTGACACAAGAGGAGCAGCTAAAACGGCCTGTGTTTTTGTCTAAACACAGACTCAGATTGTCAGTTTTGGGTCTTCATCAGTATGCAAACCCCGTCAGCTGGGTGAGTGGTCAGCATCACTGCAGGCAAACAAAGCCGAAATTCATCCTGGATGTCTGCTGATGGTTCAGGCCACAACAGGCAGCCAAGGATAAGTGTGCTCCTCTATGGTCTGTATTGTTGTACGGCAATGCAGTCTGAGTCATCCAACACGAGCGTCCTCTTCATGGAGCTCCAGAGCTGCCACCACCCACCAGCAACGGCTGTCCGCTGGGTTATAAAAGCCCTCCTACATAGAAATGGTCTGTCGTGGCTAAAAAGCTGTTTTTAAATCACTTTATATCCACTATGGTTGGATGGATGGATGGTTTTCATTTTAAAATCCTGTACAAGCATTTCGGAAAAATGCTAAATAAAACATTTTAAGAAATATTAGATATAATACATTAATTGTCCGAAGAAAATAAAGTATTTTATAAATATTAAATGTCTTAAAAGGTGTTTACTTTAGTACTAAGTTGTAATGTGCGGGACCTTTATCAGTCTACAAGGGAAATGGGAAGTGATTTTTAAATGATGTTATCATAATATGAGGAATTTCCATTCTCCATCTTACCTTAGACAACATGAGATTAGTTTTTCCATACCACTGTTTTCATTTCCAGTATGAGGAAGTGAATCAGGCTAGTTTAGAGTTATTTTCCAGTCCCTTCTTCAAATACATTCTTTTTTTTTAATACAGTGTGGTTTGTTTTGGATTGGTCTTTACTGTCTAAGTTTATTTCTTTATTGTCTTTAAATCCTTGTAGGCCTAATCCGACATTGACCAACCCTCTTAATTTCTTTGTCTTTTCTTAATTTCATAATTTACATTTATTGTTTTGTACAGTTTAAGCCCTTAATTTAGTCAATTTAGCTAATTTGTCATGTCTCTGTTATTCCTTCTTTTCTTTTCTCCTCTTTTTAACAGCACTGTGTTTGATTATTAGCATCTGTTTTGAACAGGGCTATAAATGTAGCTTGATTGCTACTGTATTCATATTTATTGGCTTTATACCATTCATCTTAACCTTAATTAATAATTAATTAATTATTGTAATACCGTCCTTATCTGCCACGGTCCATCCAGATAAAGAGGGACTTTCGACCCAGAAATCACATTTTTAAGAGAAGACGTTAAATTCAGTTAAACTCCCCAGCAGCCATCTTTGGTATGTTACTGCCCCCTGCTGGGAGACCCCGTGCATCGTTAAACTACAACTGCCGTGAAACGTCACAGAATAAGATAAAATTACGTCACATCCGGGCATATAATTCAGTTGAATTTCCAGCAGGTGAGCATAGAGGTACGTAAAGTGAATCCGCTTCCATCCAACTTAAATTATAAAATGTTTAAAGTTTCTCTTTTAGTGAGATGTTACTAGAAGCTTAAAGCTGTGAGAAAATGTCGGTTTTGTTTGGGAAATGTTGTTTTAAAACGGTTAAAATCGGTGAAATGCGGGAGCTGTGCTTGGTGCTAGCTGCTAACAAGTTTGTGTGAGTTTAATTTGATCTTCTCTATTGTTTACAGATCAATTGATACGTGTGTGTGCAACGTCCAGCATTAAAATGGACAGGTAAGTTATTTTTTACTACTTTAGCAGCAGCGTTTTATCTCCCAGTCCACGTGGATGTAAAGTTATTTGAGTAGGCTGTAAAAAGCCCTGCACGTCCTTCACACAGGAAGGAACCTGCAGACACGTTCATTATAAACCTGAGTTTTTGCATTATATTAATTCTGCAGACCTTTCCAGCGAGAATGAGCCTGTTGTGGCTCTGTCCTTTCCTGTAGTGTCTGCTAGAGAAATTTGGGGCTGTTTGAGGCCCTGCTGTGTGCTCTTCATGGCAGGGTTATAGGTAAACCTCAGACAAACTGTCAGGTATTTATTGTTTAATTATTACTGCTCATTTGAGCTTGACATAATTGTTTACTGTTTTCTAATGTAGGTACACCTTGAAGCAAAATTCCTTTAATTTTAACATGAACCCATGTGCCGTGTGCAACTTTGGCATAGCAAAAGTAGTAATAAATGTCAGAATGTCCAGAAAACATGTCATCACTATTTTAATACATCAGTGTGAATGTGTGTATTTTATAACAAGAAATACACAATACTTTAATGTCAGAGTATGAATGGCAAGACATTCCCAGTATTTGTAATTTGCTTTGTCAGCCTTATTCTACAGTATTACACACACACACCTCTATGCGAGTTAACGTACACATTGTTTTAATACTGTCAACACAAACTACAAGAATTATGTATCATGTTTCACTCAAGATTGGCAGTAAAGCCTTACATAAGCCATTAAACTTTAATCCTTTCATGGCACATAATGCATAAAGTGATGCTTTTACTTGGTAAAACTTGTATAATTTGGTACTTAAAAGTAAAACTGTACTTTTACAGGACTGCAGCGACGATGCCAGGCCCAGCCATGTTCAGACCTCCTGACTGACATCTGGTGCTGAAGTATGAGTTAAGGTTAGTTTTTGTAATGTAAAGAGAACAAATGATGCTGAAAATAGGTGTTATGTCCTGTACTTGGAATACTGCTGCATTTTCTTCAACCCATCTCCTTTTTAAACATTGCTTGTAAACAAAATGTTGTCTCTTTTGAAGTCACACTGAAACAAATGTTCAGGCATCTTTAGCTAAAGTCTGTAATGGAACATAGATTCAAGTGAAACTTTTTACAGGTTATGGTGAGAGGACTTCTGATATTAAAATACTTAAACCAATTTATTCAATACCTATTCAGCATGTAATGGAAGTGTAAAAAATAAATAAATAAATCAGGGACAGTATTAGTACTTGGAAAATGTAATTTTCACTTCATCCTCTTGATATCAAGTGGCAAATTCACATACTTGAATATCTGGTATTCAAAGAACAACCTTTTAAGAATCAGTGAGTTACTTTATTCAATGTTTCCTTTGACACTTTCAACTCCACACAGATACAAAATGCTAGTCCTGTATGGAAAAAATGTTTTGTGTGTGTATATAGAAAATCAATCGGTTATTGTTGTTTTTAGCAGTATAAGATTTCTAACTGTTGATCAGATGAAGTAAACCATGTTTTGGTTATTGTTATACACGTTGGTACGTTGTGATTGGCATTTCTAGCTGACAGTGTAAAATATTAGTCAGTGTTGTAGTAGAAGTGAACCTCCCAGATTTCCAGGTCTTAATGACTAATGCCATCTTGTTGAACATTTAAAACCTGAGAGATGTGTGCAGACCTTTCCAGCGAGACTCAGCCTGTTGTGGCTCTGTCCTTTCCTGCAGTGTCTGCTAGAGAGATGTGAGGCTGTTTGAGGCCCTGCTGTGATTCTTCATGGCAGGGTTATAGGTAAACCTCCAACACTGTCATCGTTGGGTTTCAAGCCAGATAAAATGCTCTGTTGTACTACTTTACTTTAATCCATTAGCTTATTGATCTCTTGTATGTTTTTATTTATTTTTTTAAATACAGGAGTTGAAGTCACATGAAGGCATTGGGCTTCTGAGTGTATGTCTGTCATGTAGAAGCTCTCAAGGGACGTCAAGTGGTACGTTTTTCATATTTGAAGATTTTTGATTTGCTTGTTGTCCCTTATCTACTCAAATGCTTAACCTTTACCCATTAACTCTTTCTGTGTATATAGTCCACCTCACTTACTGAGCTTGATACTGGCATTTTTAATCTTTCAAAGGCTCCACGGCTTCTGTCTACCTCAATGAAGAGTCTGCAAGTAACCATGTGGATCAATGTTGTGGCTCCTCATTAAAACCAGAGGGTGCTGCAAACTTCATCAATATGGCAAGACTCAAACGCAGGTAAAGATTTCCCCCCAAAGTCAGTCTGACGGCTCTGTGTTTTACAAAAAATGTATTAATGTTTGTTCTTTATCTACAGATTTCATTTCGAGCCGAAGAACCAGTTCATCTGCTGACGGGAAACAACGGTCACATTTAGATGTCTGACCTTCAGATAATTCCCAGTTTTTTGTGATTTGCAAACTTGTACATCAGCAGAAAAGTCTAAAAAAAAAATAATGGTGAAGATGGAAGAGTTTTTGAGTCTTAATTGCAGTAATATTTGTTGATAAAATCATCTGTACGAGGGATTGACGAGAAATGTTAAAATAAACATCCTAAATACACTTGTTGTGGTTGTAACTTGATTTGCATCTGAGACAAAATTTTGTCTTAGTTGGTAGAAACATTATTATCCCTGATTTATCATAGAACAAAACAGGTGCTGGTCATATAATTAGAATATCATCAAAGTTGATTTATTTCAGTAATTCCATTAAAAAAGTGAAACTTGTATAATGTATACATACATTCCACACAGACTGATATATTTCAAGTGTTCATTGCTGCATTAATCAACTAAGTATTGAGTGCTGTACATGCTCATACTTTTCAGTTTGCCAACATTTCTAAAAATCCTTTTTTTTGTATTGGTCTTAAGTAATATTCTAATTTTTGGAGATACTGAATTTGGGATTTTCATTAGTTGTCAGATTTAATAATCAAAATTAAATTAAATAAACTTGAAATATATCAGTCTGTGTGTAATGAATGAATATAATATCCAACTTTCACTTTTTGAATAGAATTACTCAAATAAATAAACTTTTTGATGATATTCTAATTATATGACCAGCACCTGTAAATAAATTCAGGCTATAGCTGGTTTAGCATTGGTCACATTAGTTTGTGGGGATAATGTGTTCGTGAAACATGATTTGCCTGGATTAATTAAAATGAAAATCTTAAAGCTGTTTGTAAATCAAAACACAATACAGTTAATTTATTTTCCTGATTAGATAAATGCAGCTTTTAATTGGTGGCATGTGAGCAGTAATCTGTCTAAACAAAGTGACTAAAGTGATTTTAGCTATATATGGAAAAATCTGCTTTTTATTTATTTAGTACTTTGTGGAATCCCAAACTTAATCTTAGAATGAAATTAAGCCTGCAGTTTTAATCTTTTGATTAAAAAGAAACATCGAGGTTTCAGTGCCACAAAAGTGTTACTCTGGTCAAGACCCATGCGAGGGCGATCTTGCACCACGTGTTAAATGTAAAACATATGTAAGCGTGAGTCATGCATTCAAGATCAAGTCAAAGTACATTAGTATTAACAGTAAAATGTACTTAAAGTAGCCTGTAAAAGTACGTGTTGGGCAGAATGGTTCACTTCAGAGAGGTATAGCACATTTTAACTACTTTATATACTGTGGAAAGTTTAATCTATTGCGCAGTGCCATATTTTATAAATAGATCACGTTTTTTTAAAGTTTTTTTTTAAATTTATTTTATTGTGAATGTTTGAACTGTAAATCCAAAGCGGACATGACGAAGTTACTTTCGGTTTTATCCGCACTGATCAAAACAAAGTGAAGTCATGAAAGTTTACAGCAGCGAGCTCTAAAGTAAGTTACCAGCCAGACTGAGACCAACGGGTTCGGGTTGCATGTGTTGCACCTTAATACAAAGTGTACAGCGAGTGAACTACAGAAATACGTTTACTTGGTTGTAAATGTTTAAAAAAATGTTCAGGGAATATTTTCGATATCACACAAGTTACTGCTTTGCAGAGAGTGTTCTTCTTATTTCTACTGCTTCTATTGGTGCATTTACTGCTTTCACTGTAAATAATATAAACCACATCTACCAAAGAGCCACGATTTAAAATACTTTCGCTTTCGATGAAACGTCCTGCACTTGTAAGTTTCACGTAGCTGCTGTAATATCCCTCGCCTGACCCGTGGTGGGAGAATTAGGCCCACGCAGATCTTTAACTCAGGTAAAAGTATCAATATGACTGTAAATATTCTCTGTTACTAGTACAAGTTGTGCATTAAATTTTTAATACACAAGTATTAGGATCAAAATATACTTAAAATCATATAAGTACATGTAGCCATTGTGCAGAAAGACCCATTTCAGAATAATGAGTTTTATATTGTTGGATTATATTTATGCAATAATGTGTTAGCTCATTTTTATGTTGCAGCTGGTAAAGCTGGAACTATATAGATGAAACTATTTTAATTATATTATACTGCTGGTAGCTTGTGAATTTCCCCCAAGGGATCAAAAAAGTCAACCAAAAAGCAGCCTAATTTATTTGTTGATTATATTTTTTACTAGTAACTTGTAAGTACAGCTATCAAATAAATGTAGAGGAGTAAAAAGTACAAATGTTGTGGAGTAAAAAACGGAGGAGAGGAGGTTCTGAAGGTGCTGTTACCCCTGTTATCAGCCAGAGGCTAAGTAATCCTGGAGCTCAACATGCTCATAAAGCATGATTTTACGTGGTGATGTCCTTAAAAGTGGAGAAACTGCCATTAAAACAGCAAGAACTGTTAACTTGAGCTGTTTTCTGGGAAGTTCCATACTATATTTCTTCTTATAGTGTATTTTAACTCATCTGTGTGTCTTCTCTACTAACCATCAGTGCATGTTACAATAATGTTAATTGTTTCTGACACAGACATGGTATGTACTGTAGGTCTAAGTTTATTTCTTTTTTCAGAAGCTGTCCCCCAGCAGCGCATTTTCACCACAGTGATCTATAATTAAAAAAGATTTTCTCTGTACAGTTATCTAAATGCTTATGCATTTTCATGTCTCTCGTTCTCTTAAACTGAAAACTCCAGCAATTTAGTTGCTCCTATTACAGAAAAACAAGTGTGTTTGACCATTAAAATGCAAAACACAACCAATAAACCAATCAACAACGAATAATAGAGGTGCAGGTCTGTGATGCCTCAAAGCGTTACAGAATCAAAAGTAGGAAAAACAAATTGAATACAATAGAAACAAACTGAGTAAAGAATTAAGACTCAAATATATAAATGATATAGAACAAATGTAAACCTGACTAATAATCTGAATCCAATACAGCAGGAGACCAAGCTCCTGTTCAGTTTAGCTAATTAAAGTTTGTATTTCCTAAATTATCTTCATATATCGCTTTGATGTTGGATACTGTATGCTGGAGGCAAACACAGTTGTCAGTTTTATCACTTTGTCTTTGTGCAGACAATCAAGGATAAAATATGTGTCTGTTTATCATCCTTAAATTTAATGATCATGGGCATTTAGTTTAGTTTAATCCCACACACATGAATCCTGAACCTCACAAATGCACTTGCTGTTTGCTCTTTGAGTAACATTTGTTAAAAACTACAGTGCCCAGCGCAGCGGTGTAAGATAGTAGCAGATATATAGTATAATTATGGCTCTTTGTATTCTGTAGGGCAGAGAAAATACAATTTGACACTAACTGAAGTTCCATCATACTCTACAAATGAAAGGTGGTTAAAGTCACGGGGCGCTTAGTTTTTCTTTTTGGGCATCCTTTGTTGAGTTCAGTCAATAAATTTAATAAATCAGTCAGTCAGTAAGTCGAATCATGTGTTTCTTTCCACAGTTGCTGCTTGAGTCTTGCAGGTGAATCGTCAACAATATCATCCAACAGTGAAAGCACCTGCTCATCTTGAGGTAACAATGCAGACACATTTATCCATCTTATGTTAGGTCGGATTAATTTCTTACTTATTCAGAATTATTTATTGTGCTTTTATTCTCAGATGGATCTCCCAGTGAAGGCAACCATACTTTTGAATCTTTTCCCCGACAAGACAAAGGTGAAAGAAATCCTCAGGTCCCAAGGCTTTGTGTTGACAGATTTGAGCAGTGATCAGGTGCATGTCGAAGGCTCGTTTTTTAAACTTAAAGCTGCAAAGGCCTCTTTGGAGTTGCTTCTTAACTCAAAGACCAAGACAGAGAATGCGCCGTACCAGGAGGTTACTTCTGGTGCCATTTCTAAATACTACACTAAGAACAGCTCAGATCTTAATCAGAGCCGGTTAGGATCCAGAAACAAGCCTCTTCATACTTCTCCATCTTCACCCACCACCTCCTCACCTTGGTCATTTGACTCTCCCAACAACCATCCAGCGTCTCCAGAATACAGAGCTTCTTTTTCTCCAATACCAAACCAGAGTGGCTCATTCAGGCGGGGAAGAGACTCCTTTGTCGTTGATGCAGATGTGTTTATATACGCAGACCAGCTCAGGAAAAAAGAAATTTGCACCATCCTGGAAAGCCATAATGTTAGAATGGAATCGCGTCAAGTTGGCGATAGCTACAACATCACTTTACTGGGGAAGAGCACGAGGTTGGCTGCCAGTAAACTACAGAGTCTCCTGGACTTTCTCAACAAATCACTGCGCACTCAGGACGTTCCTCTGAAGGATATGAATCGTGAAGGCAAGGCTCTTTTAGAGAAGATCCGGAAAAATAAAAACATTTACAATTCAGTTCTCGTGTGTGTGATGAATGACACACTTCACCTCATAGGACCGTCTGATGAGAGCTACCAGTTGAGGCAGAAGCTGTTGGGGAGGCCGGTTGGTCAGTCAGTACGTACAGGGAGGACATCCGACAAAAACTCCAGGGCGAGGAGCAGCGCTCTGCCTCCAGCCAGTCGAAAGAACACAGAAAGAGATCGCTGGGCCGTCGCTTATCCATCTCCTGTCAAAACTACAGGTTACTCTGCACCAAAGTACCAGGATGATAAACAGGACGGTGTGGAGCCAGAGTGGGGAGCTGCTGGTTATGCTGAGGGTGGAGCTTTAAGGAGGAGAAGCCAATCTGAGTCCCGTGAAAAAACCCGGGAAGAAAGGGCTAATGGAAACATGCAAGAGTCGGAAAACAAACGTCCGCCTCCTAAATCATCCATGAAAGGCCTTTCGAAGTTACGAATGTTTAACAAAACAGATGTAATGAAAAAGTTACAATTTTGGAAATAACAAGAAATTTATGTTCATGAAGGTAGACACACAGCACTGACACTCAGTTTACATTTTTTGTGGTATTTTCTGGCCATGTGTCTAATAGGCTAACTTTTATACGTCTTACTGACTAACAGGTTTGAACATGCAGCTACGTGGTGTGTGCTGTACAGTACAGCCTGATTCATACAGGAAGTTTGAGGCCAAAATCAATACCATTTCAGCATTAAAGGAAAAGTTTGACATTTTGCGAATTACAGTTATTCGCATTCCTGCCGAGAGTAAGAAGATGGATATCACTATTCAAAGGTAACCAACTCTGCATACCAGCACCTCTAAAGCCCACTAATTAACATGTTATATGTTCTTTGTTAAAGTTGTGGTTTTATGGGGGTTAAGTGCCGGACTATTTCTCGGCCAGAAACATTATCCTTAGACAGAGCAAGGATAGATGTTTCAAGTCTTTGTGCTAAGCTAAGCTAACTTCTGTTGATGGCATCATCATATTTATCATATCATAGGCATGAGAGCAGTATCAATGTTCTCATTTCTCTTGCTAAGAAAGTGACTACATATCCCAATTATGCTAAACTAGTCTAATTACAAATCGAGTCTGTGTGTCATATGTTCAACACCTGAGCGTGAGGACTCGTGTGAGCTTTGTAGTCATGATCACTGCTGAAGAAAATATCTTAGGAAATGAGGGCCTACTATGCAGAAACTATGCTCTTAAATAGCTTTTAGTTATTTTTTAAAACTTGATTCACAGATAATAAATTATTATCTTCCATCTACAGTATTTATCACTTACATGGCTACAGAATGTTTTATTGTTGGTGCAGGAGGTGAAAAATATTACTTTTTTATAAATTAAGTCTTTGAAACCTTCAAACAAATTATTTTTGATATTTGTATATTACTTTACATTCATTCTTAAGACATTATTAGGACTGCAATTAAACAAATTATTTTATATTTGAGTAATCTGCTGATTATTTTCTCAATTAATCTTTTAGTCTATATCTGTTAAAATGTCACAATCTCCTCGTGGCCAAGATTATATCAACAAGTGTCTTGTTTCGTTTGATAAACAGTCCCAAACCCAAAGATATTTAATTTAAGGTAATGTTTAGACAAGGAAAAGCAGTAAATCTGATGTCAAAATTGTTATTAACACTAATAACCTGTGCATAATATTAAATTATTCAACCTCTTCTGTCTTGAAGAAATAACGTTTTATTTATCTAGTGGCCTTGACCGACATCTCTTGCACAATTCATTATTGCTAGTTGCTTGCACTGTAAATGTCGGTGATCTGGATGTTATTCGACTTCTGTACACTGGACATGAGCATCAGCTGAATGGTTAAAAAAAAATCATATAAGTTTATGTAAACTGTAAAAACACTAAAGTGCCGTGAATGATTTGAAGGATCTTTGGGTGTTAATTAAATGTGATAATGATGATAATGCCTCTTTCATCTCCGTGTGTTTGTGCTCTACCATAATAATGTTGTGCATCTGGCGCTATTGTCATGTTTTTACTGCGACACCTGAATGCAACACCTAGATAGAGACAGATGTGAGAGGAAGCGTGAAAAGGAACAGAAAGAGACTCTGACAGTCGACTGAACTCATGCTGAGAAAAGACGTGGCTGATGAGGATCTATTGTAAGAGTCATGGGTTAGAGGAAGGGTGTTAAACAGGATGCTGTTGCCATTATACAGCATTAAAAACTAACTTTAGGTTTAGAGTAAAAAAAAAACAGGCTGTAAAGAAACAGTTGGTGGGTGTTGTGTATTTCTCACAAATAAAAATGTTTCAGTCTGATGGTTAAGTCCCGTTACTCATATCATTTTCCAATCAATGCTTGCATCAAGTATGAATTAAAGAGATCATTCAAACAGGGCCGCTAATGACTAATGACTAATGACTACAAATATGAGTCAGAGGCCTTTCGGTTAACAGCTACAATACAGATCAATCTGAGGAGAAATCTCTCCTCCACCACAGAGCCTAGTGCTGTGGGTTTCCCCTGTTTGTCTGTTGCCAGGGTATCTCAAAAACATAAAACAGAAAGTTGTTGAAAAGTCTGACAATACAGTACATATTTTTGGACTTAGAAAGTTTCATCATTACCTACCAGTAGAAGATTAATTTAACGTAAAGGTTTAGTTCAGTACTGACTTTGAAATTTGGACTGAAAAAATACCAACTGAAAGTCCAGTCAACAGCTTTTTCTGGAGCATTTATGTGTATCACAAGATGTTCTTCACTGGATTGAGTTTGCTCAGTTGTCATGCTCATGGTCAGTAGTTACTATAGTAGTAACTATTCATCCTGTCCATGTTTGTTTCTAAATTCATTCTTGACCCTGGAAATAGTAGCTTGTACTAGTGGAAAGTGGATCCATGAGTTGGGATAATCTTGTACCAAAAACATACCTTTAGTGGTATCTAAGTAGGCTAGGTTTATTTATTTTTCAATTTGATTTGTGCTGTCAACACTTTTAATAGCGACCATCTCTTCAGTTAATTGTGGTTACAATGGAAACTGCTATCCACGGTAGCATAGAAATTATTTCTGGGAAAAGATGTTGCTGTAACGTCTTTTGTCAGTGTTTTGTTGGGCACCACAAATAAAATCCCTTTCACCATAAACACATTTCAAAACCTGGACAATAAAACCACAATATGCATGCTGCATGGCTAAATACCGCAAGAAGTACTAGAGATAATTTGGGTGTAGGAGTATCTTCAAGCAGTAGTTAGGATTAAATTCCTAAAGTGCCTTCTTGTATTTAAACACTTTTAGGTTTTCCATGCAAATTAGCTGTTCATCCTGATCACAGAGGCTATTCATGCAGAGAGTACAGGCGTGGATTTAGCTTGTTATAAGTACACTTTTTAAGGTTTTCCATGCAAAGTAGCTGTTCATCGTCATCACAGACTCTATTCATGCAGACTGTACAGGCGTGGATTTAGCTTGTTATGAGTAAAATCCATCTGAGTCACAAACTGAGCTGTCTGTGTCACACAACCTGTGCTTAGAAAGATAAACACACACTGTTGAAACATGTTGGAGAACTGCTGACAGCTGACAACGAGGAACAAACATTTTAGTGGATCTTGACAATCACACAGTGCTGAGAGGTATAGGCTACATATCAGCGATGGAATTCACAAGTCACTCCGTAGTCATTGACAAGGTATCGTAGTTTGTTCACTTTTTCCTAAGTGGTTGCATCACCACTCAAAGGCAACAGTAAGAGAACGCATCACAAATAAAATCCACTATTTCGACTAATAATATTAATTCAGCTAATTTTAAATGTAAATGTGTTTATTATAAACTAAACTGTTAACCAACCACCCCAAACATAACACAACAGAAGTAGGTAGTACCACACACACTGCTTTGGACACCACTGTTTGTTTACATTCTTTCTCACTGAGCACCTCCTTCCCAATGACATCACACAGGTTGTTAAAGACTGCAAGCTATGATTGATCATGTGTTGCATGACTGTAATTGCCTAATATGACACAGTGACCATTTTAAAAGACAAAAGTATTGTGTATTCTGAAACAGACCAACAGAGTTGGCCAACAGAATTAACAGGTTGTTAAAATGTTGTGTTAGCAAAACATTAGCCTCAGACAGCTAAGCTAGTAGCATATAATGGCTAATTTGATTAACCAAATAAAAAAAGAGTACAAATGAGTATTTACACATAATGCTCAAACAACGGAATTTGGGGAAGACAAAAGAAGCCAGTCAATATTTGCTTGCTGTGTCTGTGTCACTACTCACTATATAGTTCACTATAGTGAGTTTGCCATTGTGTAGTGCTGTCCGAATGTATAGTGATAATTATTATACCCTATAGAGAGCCTAAGTCACTCGCTTCCACTTCTGGCCCATGGGACCTTATAGCAATATATACAACCATGCATTGCTCTGATGGAAAATTGTATAATAGTTGATGTGGCATGTTTAAATTGCGTGACAGCAATGACGTACTTGACAACGGTGAGAGAATGATCTTAGTCGTGTCCAAAAGAGTTGTTTTAATTTTGCTCATACTCATATTCCCTAGATAGGGAGTAGTGAATGAGTGGAGATTTTTATGGTCACAGATCTGACAAAATGGTGGATGAAGCAATGTCAGTTAAACTGCAGCTGCTCTTCCAGTAGAAATTGCTAGCAACATAGTGTTCAACTGAAACTCTGCAGTTGCTCTGCTGCGAGTTGGGAACCTTTGGTTTAGAGAAACCCCTAAGGAACACGTTGTACTGCCAATGCCCAGTTAGGAGAGGAAATGCCACGATACTTCCCAGGAGATAAAGGCCATTTTCTACCCACAAATTAGCAAGGTTAACTGCTCTTGTCTGGCAGTATGTCAGATTTTGGTTCCTGTTTCTGAGAAGGAAATATACATATAAAATAGACACACAAAAAGCACACACGCTCTGTTTGGTTACCATTTAGAAATTCGGAGGCATTGTGGCAGGAAGAGAGAGACAGAGGAGGATGCAGAAGTGGTCTGAGCTTTTAAAGATAGCCTCCTATTTATATAGATCTGTGTGAGGGCATAGGCTGACTGACAGCATGACGTGCTGTAGCTTGTAGACCACAACTCTCTGTGACTTGACTACGCACACCCTACAATCCACCAAAGAGCTCGCCACGCCCACAGAAACACTCACAGTGTACCGGGCCCCAGACGTCGACCATACTTCTTCTTCCTTGAGCTGCTTTCTGTTCCTCTACGTCTCCTCAGTCTTTTTTGTCTTTAAAAGTGTTTGGTGAATACAGAGAGGGATGGCAGAGCTGGAGGGCCTGGAGTTTGGGAAGTCGGACTTTGTCCTCCTGGATGAGGTGACCATGGAGCAGTTTATGGAGAATCTGAAGCTGAGGTAAGGTTTGAGATACTGTTAGAGAGGATAAAGGAAGTGGAAGAGGGTGGAAGCAGCTGGGTGTCAGAGATGCAAAGGGTTTCGCTTCATGCATACCTGATATATGAAGGACAACAGCATGTTTGTTTAAGTCTTTGTTTAGTTAGCTATAAAATATGTTACAATGAGTGTTAAAAACGAAAGATTAATGTGTATATTGTATTTAACCGTCTGACATTCGCAAACTTGCCAAAAACATTTGTTGTAATAGTACTAAATCACCAAGTTGGCACTATCTTGACAACTTCGGTCAAGTTAGCAGCTACTGAAGGGACATAAAGATGAAACATACAGGGGAAATTCTCCCTTTTTCCCTTTATGCAAGCATCCTCGCCTTTCCCGCTCACCCTCAGGGTTCAGATATAAACTTGCGGTTGATTTGATCATCACCACGCTACACAACTTCTGTCAGCCAAATGAAGCACATGGCGTTGTACCAATAAAACAGCTGGTCTCACCAAACCGGCCCAACTTAATACTCTTAATACTATTTTTGTCTTGTCTCGTGACTTTTCTACTGTTTTTAGTGTGCAATGCTTTCAGGAATTTATACTTGTCCCTTGTCTCAAAGTCCAGACTGGGTTTTTTCTTGACCATTCTCACTTCCTCTGTGTCTCACCAGGGCATCATGTCCTTAGTTCAAACTGTGAGAAATGTCAAACAATATCATAAGTTTTCACTTGAGAGAAAACTACCCACACTTTCTCAGTTGACGTATGCACAGCAGATTGCTCTAAATGAACATTTTTCACAGTCAGTCTGGCTAGGCATCTGACATCATTGGCTTGCAGATAATGTATCTAGAGTTTCATCCCACAGCTTGATCAGACTTGACTGGTGGCAAGTTCAGCTCATATTGGCCTATTTATTAAATGTCCTATACTTTTTCATATCTACCTGTGAGTTCAGGTGTCACTGCCATGCTGCCATGTTGGCTTCTCCTGTCAGAAGGATATCTCAAAAACTTATGAACAGATTTCCATGAAGGCTGGTAGACAGAGAGGCCACAAATATACTTTTGTATCTTTAACTGTAAAATTGACAGAGATCAAGACTTTATTGGAAAACTAAATATGTTTTCATTAAAGAGACATCAATTTAAAGCTGTGAGTGCAGGACTTTATATGAGCCCAGTCTCATCCCAGGGCATCAAATACCGATGCTTTGAGAAAGCCTAACAGTATCAGTATTTTATACACAAGGGACCCCTCAGCATTTGAGACATCCTGGGCTTTTGAAGAACGCCAATGTAACCCATCCAGT